GACTGTTGAGTGTATGACTATGCCTGGCTTTTACATTGGTCGCTAGATGATAGGAAGGATGGCTTTGCAGAGCCTTTGTCATTTCCACTGCCTTGGTTGAAACAGGGTGGTCTGCATGGGACATGACAAGGTCACTCCAGGATCCTGAAGCCCTTACACAATGGACAGGTTTAGGTGATCGAATTCCAAACATTAAGACTTAAACACTTGAAGCAGAGTCAAAGGTGGAGTAACAACAGTAATGACGGACAAAGGGCCATATTTGAAGGAATTCAGGGATCCTGGAAGATGCTGGGGCAAATTCACCACTAAACAACACTGAATCGAGTTGTAACGAGCCTGCTGTTGCCTTGGGGTAGATCGGCTGACTTGGCACAGAGGAAACACCAAAACTAGGATCTTCCTGAACTGCCTAGGCTAATACAACAGCCAAAATTATAAAAACTTGCACACTCAGCCCAAATAGCTACAGTCTTAATGGCTCAGAGTTAGGTCAATTGGCCGAACAAGCCCATGTTAAAATTTATTAAGTATATTCAACAACTCAACCCACCAAGGCTAGAACTTCTGATGCTGAAGTTAACACGCATTTTAAAATTATGAACAGTTTTGACACCCTGAATCAGAACATATTGATCAGAATCAGAAGCACTTTGGGGAGTCAATGATAAAGGAACCATCAACATAAAGAACACAGGAGAAAAAGACAGTTAAAATAAGTTTCTTTATTCAGTGGCTTATATGAGTGATAAACTTTGACACAGATATTGCAATTTCAAAGAAGAAATTTGGTAAATACTCAAAGCAGACTAAAAATCAAAAGCTAAGAGAAGGAGAACAGGGTAGTAAAGTTAGGCTTGGAATGTTCTAGCAGAGCTAACATGGATATAACCAGCTGAATGGCCTCTTATCACCCTAAATCAATTGAGATTTTAAGCATGTTTACTGTGCAGAGACTATAAACTTGACATGTCCATGCCCAGGAGCACTAACCAAACCACAGGGTACAAATGTATTTGCATGGTGACATGAAAGACTGATCGGATTGACCATTTTTCTCAAGACCTACAGAGTGCCTTTTAAAGCTATAATTAGCTGGGCGTATAACAGACTGGTCAGATGCATGTGATGCAATACCTCGTCCTTTGATTTGGCTTTCAATGCGGGCTAATTTGAAGCTCTGTCATTTCAAAGTTTGTCGCTTGTGGATTTGATTTTTAAAAGCACCTCCAGCATGTACTTTATATACATTGAGTTTAAAATACAATGATTTTTCAGGATTCTCTCCAGAATACACTGATTATCTTAACATTCCAGCCACCAGATTTGGGAGGGGGGGTTAGAAATGAAACTAAACCATCTGAACATAGCTATCCAACATAACTCTTCAGAGGATCTAACAGGGTATATTTTTTTTTGGACATCCCCTCCCCTTCGTGATTTTCTCATCGAGACACTAGTGCTCCTGCATTTCACTGGAGGGAGACTCAGTTTTACTAGTGGAAGACAAAAAGAACACATGATTTAATGCTTAGACAATGCCACCCATTGTGTGTGTTTGGCAACTTACAGGATGTCTATTTGTTTCTCTCCAACTAAGCACGAAATTAGATTATTCATAACCTTTGAAAATATCTTCAGAGTGTATGCATTATATCCATGCCTATTGGATACATGTGTTAATAGAGTACCCAGCAGCAATCTGAGTGACTAAGCTGCCATGCAGAGAACTGTACAGCAAAACCATGCTTCAAACTCTTACAATGGTCAGCTGGAAAACCTCTGAAACCACCCAATCTGTAGTTATGCATGCAATCATTTCACTTATTTAGACTACCCCTTTAAAAAGGAACAGTCTGATTGCTATGATTTCCGAACAATCAAATACTGATTACCTCACAATTACAGTTTACTGAAAAAGGTCAAGGTTAGATTTGCCTTTGAGTAACCTGAAGATAAAAAACAAGCTGAAAGTGATTGTACTGCTGCACTTTTTAAACCATTCAGCAGTCTAATCCAGACAAAAACACAATAAAACATATTATTTTACAAAAGCGTAACTGGAGTGTGGTGCATTACACATTGAATTATAACAAATCACAGCATTTTTTAGCACACGGAACTAAAAACTTAACTGATAGAGATTTAAGCTTGAATCAGATTTAAATTTTATTGACTACACTTAAGGAGCAATCGCTCATTTTAAGGCCTTGTTTGAGACTTCATGTATAGCACAATCGGGTCCAGCAAGCTTAGTCACAGAACTAAACTGGTCTCAAAACAGAAATATAATCTTGCAAAAATATTTTCCATACTGTTATTATTATCTTTTAAGTTACTTTTGTTTCCTTTCCCTTGCACAGTTCTGAATCAAATGGCAGAGGGACCTTTTCCATAGCTTCTTTCAAAAGAATTGCAGGAGAATCTCTCAGAAATCCACAAGCTCAAACTTTTCCTTCACTCGCCTCCCCCAATCACCACTCAACTCCATCCCCTCACACATCTTCATCGGAATTTCAGGTCCTTCAATCTTTCACCGAGACTTCCCCTCGACTGAACGGCAATGTCAGAAAAATTGTCTGGACAACCGTACAATGTACGAGTTTTTTTTAAAATTGCTGTAAAGTTTTAACAAAGAAATTACTAAAAAGGAAACCATTCATGCACCCAGTCCAGGCTATTGAGTAAGCCAGAGCCTCATTTAAAAACATTTAGCAAAAACAAACAAACAGTCATAAATTATTCATTGTTAAAAATTGCAATCATGTCTGTGAATTGTTTTTAAGTTTGTGTGAAGCCTTATTTAGAGGATTAAAACTTTTAGTTACTGCAAGGAGAAGCAAAGAGAAACTCGCGACAATTCTGCCAGCACGTGAGAGAGATGCACAGGTTACTCTCAGTCATGCAGCACGGAAACAGACCCTTTGGTCCAACCAGTCCACAATGATCATGTCTCCCAACTAAACCAGTCCCACTTGCCTGCGCTTGGCCCTTATCTCTCCAAACCTTTCCTATTCATGTGCTTTTCCAAATGTCTTTTGAAATGTTGTTACTGGACCTGCATCCACCACTTCCCTCTGGAAATTTGTTCCACACATGAACCACTGTGTAACAAAACTTGCCCATCATGTCCTTTTTCAAACTTTCTCCTCTCATCTTAAAAATATGCCCCCAAGGTTTGTACTCCCCTACCCTAGGGAAAAGATCCTTGCTATTCACCTTACACTGTAATAAAGGATTCCCAGTTCCCTTCTCCGACATCACACACTTGCAGATATTTGTTTTCCTATCCAAGATTTTTTTTGGATAGCCTGATGAAAATTTTGCCAAATTGCCTGTGCTTTACAACTCTTCGTCGACACTGGCAATGATGACTTTTTGTGCACTCACCTGTCTGAAAAACAGTGTTTTTAATATAATATTACAAGATCCAATATATCCACAAGCCATTCTGAACTGCACTTTTTCATCAGAATGAAGCAAAACTACAATTTTGCTAAAACAAAACCTTTTCTGGCACAGCATTTCCAAAGTTCTGCAAAGTCAAAAAAAAGCACTAAATTACATCAAGCCAGACCTTGCATGTTCACAAACTATAACCCTATTTCTCGAAAGTTATCCTTTTGGATTAATTTACTTGAAATTTAAAAACTGCTCGCCCAAATGATGAAGTCAACCTTTAAAATGAACTATTAGTAAAATTATAAAACCTTAATTTCATGAGCAATTAAGAACTGCTTTGTTTGGCTAGAATATACAGGCCTGACTGTCAAGTGGAATTATTACTTGTTTGAGTACACCGAAGCATATTCCTGGAAGATCCTGCTTGCTTTCAAACTGCACGCACCCAATTCTAGGTCCCCTGGCAACACCACATTAAGAGTTTAGACTCTGTAAACACCCATCATTGCTTGGGATAGAACAATATCTGACAAACAATGCAAAACTTAACTGATGTATTGGAATAGTATACACTCACCTGGAATCCATTGTACAAGACAACAATTGATAATATAATGCAAAACAAATACTTGGAGAAACATGACATATGGTTTCAAAAGTTAAGGGGAAGTGTTCAAACAGGTTTTACATTTCGGACAGTAATTACTTTAAGTAGATTTTCTGATAGCAGTGCAACATAGCGCATTGGAGGTCTTAAGCCCTGCATCATTTAACTTCACACCTTTACAACCGAGCTAAGCTCGAACTAAATAAGCAGCTCTGTCACCATTCTCCTGGGGACGAGTCATTAAAAGCAATGACAGAAAACTATGGGATAACACAGTGTGGAGCTGGAGGAACACAGCAGGCCAGGCAGCATCAGAGGAGCAGGAAAGTTAACGTTTCGGGTCAGGACCCTTCTTCAGAAATGGAGGAGGGGGAAGGGAGCTCTGAAATAAATAGAGAGAAGAGGGATGGAGCTGGGGAAGGTAGATGGGATGGTGGTCGGTGAATGCAGGTAGGGAGTGGTGGGATTGGTCAGTGGGATGGGTGGGGCGGATAGGTGGGAGAGAAGATGGACAGGTTGTGTCAGGTCAAGGAGGCGGGGATGAGGAGGGAGAGAGGGAGAGAGAGAGAGAGAGAGAGAGAGAGAGAGAGAGACAGCCTCATATTCTGCCTCAGGAGCCTACAGCCCAATGGGAGGGAGGCTTCGACATGAGATGAGGCCGGGGGTGGGGAGATTTTAAACTGGTAAAATCCTCGTTTAGGCCATCGGGCTGTAGGCTCCTGATGCTGCCAGGCCTGCTGAGTTCCTCCAGCTCCACACTGTGTCATCTCTGACTCCAGCATCTGCAGTTCTTGCTATCTCATAGAAAACTATGGTCCTAGTTGGACCAAGCCCACACACATTTGGGAAAGTTGCAGGATATTAGAACATGCTCGATGGGGAGAGGTGGTGGTGGGGTGGGGGAGGGGAAGAGGAGAGAGGGGGAGGGGAGGCGAGGAGAGAAGAGAGGGGGGCAGATCGAGGGAATGTTATTGTCCAAGTCTGCTCTCACCTATTGACATTCCCATGAAGCACCTGGTAGATGCTGATCTGAAATGTTTCGTTTTCGAAATGCCTTCTCACCCATTCCTTGTAAATCCGAAACTCTGCTGCAGTGACAGCCTCTCCCTCTGGAATTTGGGACAGGTTAAATTTGTACTCTTGATGATGCGGTTGGTAGAGTGCAAAGCCCTTTTCGTGTTCAACTGCAGGAAGGAAGGAAGGGGGGGAAAAAAAAGTCAACCTTGAGAAGTTGGAAATTCAAAATGTAAGCATTTCACAGTAGTGTTTTTGCACGCCAAGCTCCCAAGAAAGGCCAATCAATACCAAACAGGCATTTTTGTTTATTCAACTAAATTCATGACGGGTGCAGCAGTTGACTTCAAGTGTGGTTGGGATAAACCCTGATAACTTTGCTGCGCTGGCACAGAACACGCATTTAGCATTCGTATAGCAGCAGCTGCATCAGTTAGTGGATGGCAGATACACAGCCTTCATTATGTCACTGAGCACAGCAACAAGGAAGAAACTTCTCACGCTCAGAATTAACTTCTCCCTATCCTTGCCCTTTTGTTACTTTACCAGAATCATCATCAAGTCTTTGTTACAAAACTGTTCCCTCAGATTGTTGTTGCCTTGGTGGCTCGACAGTCAAAACGTGCATTCGCTAACAGAAAGCAAGAGAAAGACGCACACAAGACAGGGTCTGTGCACAGTGTGTAGATCTATACAAAATACTAGATTATCTTGTAATGCCTCTAGTTTCACGTTATTGGTCTGGCTTTAAAGAAAAAGAAGTGTTAAACTTGCAACAGAAGTTCCAATAACTTGCATTTATATCACACCTTTAACCTAAGTAATATCTCAGGACATTTTAGAAGGGAATGGAAACAAAGCTATTAAATTAAATGGACGGCTAAAAGCATGGCTGTAAAGATGATTTGAGACAGCCTCCTCAAAACTAATCTTGACTAACTAACTAATGGATTTTCATTCACTTCTCACTTTAAGAGGAGGAACCTGACTGTAACAAATACACTTTCCACCCCCGCAACAATGTGAGAAAGGGACAGCAGAATATTTCTGGTTCTCCCATAAGATAAAGGTATTCACTATCTACAAGAAATTACAGAAATGTGTAAATCCAGTTTTAAGAAGAATATTTTCCAGACTTAAATTTGGTGGGCTCTCTTCTAATTTGCATTTCCAATCTCAACATCTCTGGGGCTCGGACACTCCAAACATGACATACCTACCCTCCGTTTCAGTCAGATCCACACACGAAGTAAACTGTGAGCTTACTTGTAAAGAGTCAAAGAAACATTATATTTGTCCTTTCTCTCAGAGAAAAAAGGCCAAAAACATTGCGTGATTTGAGCAAATGACAAATGGATGCTCTCACAAGGGAGTAATATTCAGTGATGGAGAAACAGCATCTTAGAAGGCAGCTGTCCATTACTGTAATGGTAGGGGTGACCATTACAATGTAATTGTGAAGGCAAAAATCCCATCCATACACTGAGGACACACTCTCCATCATGTTGTGTGGCACTGCCTGTGCTAAATGAGCTACATGCAGAACAGGTCCAGCTGCTCAAAGTCGGGCAGCCACAAAACGCTCTGGGCCATCAACAGCAGCAAGCTAGTTAAAACAAAGGTAACCTCATGACCCAGCAATACTTCCTCACTCTACTATTACCAAGATGCCAGGGGACCAATCTTTGTTATCAATCCTGATATCAAGAAACTGCTGAAGGCACTGAATGCAGTAAAAAGGTCATGGGCTCTGACAACATTCCAGTTGTACAAATGATGGAACAAGTAATTCAAACTATACAGGGCTCCTAGTCAAGCTGTTGCAGCATAGTTTAAAAACTGGAACCTACTTGACAACGTGGAATATTGTCCAGATGCATGCTATCAACAAAAAGTAGGACAAACTCTATTCTAGTTCAATTCTCAGCCTATCAGACTAAACTCAACCATCAAACTGATGGATATTGTCATCAGCCATGACACAAGCAGCACTTGCACACTAACAATGTGCTTGATGCTCAGTTTGGCTTTCTCCAGAACCACTGGGTTCTAACCTCAACATATAGTCTGCCCAAACAAGGTGAAAAGTACTGAACTGAACCCACGAGTTGAGAGGAATGTCCTTGACGTTATCGTGGCATTTGACGGAGTATGGTATTAAGGAGGCCTAATAAAACTGGAGTCAATGGGAATCAAGGGAAAGCTCTCTGCTGGTTGAAGCCATACCTAACACAAATATAGATGGTTGTTGTTGCTGGGAGCTAATTGTCTCAAGCCAAGGACATCACTGCAGGAGTTCCTCATAGTTGGACCTAGGATGCTACCATCTTCAGCTGCTTCACTGACCTTTCCTCCACTAGAAATTGGGACTATATGTCACTGATTGGTGTATAATATTTAGTACCATCGGCAACTCCTCAAATACTAAAGCAATTCTTGTTTGCAGCAAGATCTGAACAATGTTGGCGCCACAGAAGTTCAAGGCAATGATCATCTCCAATAAGAGATAAAAATCTAACAATCGTCGCTTGACATTTAATGGCATTGCTATCACTGAAACGCTACAGTTAACGTTGTGGTGGTGGTGGGGGGGGAGGGGGGTGTCTTGGTGGTAGCGACTCACCAGAAATGGCACTTGAATACTGTGACTACAACAGAAAGTCAGAGGTCTTGAATTCTGTTGAGTAACTCAGCTCCTGACTCCCCAGAGCCTGTCCACGACCCAGAAGGCACAAAGCAGGAGTGTGATGGAATTCTTCCCACTTGACTGGATGAGTGCAGCTCGAACACTCAAGCAGCTTGACACCAACCAAGTCAGAGCATTTTTTTTAAAATCAATACCACATCTTGGTTAAACATTTATTAACTCCATTAGTGATACACAGTGGCAGTAGTGTGTACAATCTACATGTGCACTCCAGCAATCCACTTAGGTTGCTTCAAAACCAGAGGCATCTGCCATCTAGAAGGACAAGGACAGCCAATACATGGAAATGCCACCAATTGGGAGGTTCCCCTCCATATCCTGACTCGGGGCAGTACTTTTCCTTTTCTCCCATTCAGCATCAGAAGTACACTTGTGTTATACAAACTGCAGCCATTCAAGTCTGTGGCTCACCAATGTCCCAATGGCAATTAGGGACAGGCAGCAAATGCTAGTGTTATCATCGATGTTCGCATCCTAAGAATGAATGTTGAAAAGCTGCATTACTTTTGCAGTAACTCAACTGTTGAGGTTATACAAGACATTAGCAAGTCCTCTTCTGCAGTACAGTATACAGTTCTGGTCACCCTGCTATAGGAAGAATAAGAGGTTTCAGATTGTAACTTTGAGAGAAGAAAAGACAAACTTCCCATTGAAATCCTAGTGCTCTTGTGGGGGGTGTGGCGGGGGGGATATCATGTGAAAACTCACATGGCTTTTTAAAAAAAAATCAACAAAGAATTTAATAGGTACTTGAAGGACCACTTATCAACTGGGCTACTGATCAAGAGCTGGAAGATGAGATAAGGTTGTCCATGGGTTAGCATGGACACTGTGGGCCAAATGACCACTTTTCTGTGCCCCAAGGATTTTTGTTCCTGTTGGTTAATGGGAAAAGGAGGGGCAGTAAATATGCATTTTTAGAAGACATTTTATAGGGTACTTTAAAAGCGGTTTGTTCTGAACATTCAGATGCATGAAATGAAGAAGAACTATTGCAAATGGATGATAAATTGGTTGATGGAGAAGAAAAGAAGATTACACTCCAGGCAAATTCTGTCAGGATGTCAGGCCCTTTAAGACAGAAATTATACAAATTCTCAAAATTTCCATTACAATCTGAAGTTCATTTAATCGCCAATATATTTACTTAAAATAAATACCACACTATTAACTTGCTTCACTTTTTTATCTGAACTCTAGTCTGATAAAGTGTGCCTTTTGATTCGTACCAATTAAAGGAATTACATTACAATATTATCACTGATAATCAGGTGTACTGGATAAGATATTCTTATCAATTGGTACACTTTCCCAGTCTTCAGCCAGAAAGCCCACCAATAATAAGTGCTTCAGGAATTTTAAGTGTTTTTTTTGGGAATGTGTGCAACCTAAAATTGGGAGCCAGAATCCAACCTGGCACCCGGGCAAAGGGGATTTCCTGGGAAAGTCAGAGTCTCAATGCCTTCATATTTTGTAACCAATTTGCTCAGAGATGTTATTACACACCTTTGGAGCAGGTGGGGCTTGAACCAGGGTCTCCAGGCTTAGAGGTAGGGACACCACCACTTCACCTCAACAACCCCAAGTCTCAATGCCTTCCTCATCCTCCACAAGTGGTGCCAGCTATGGCTCAATTGGTGCCAATGTCTTGGAAGTTAAAAAGTTTGCAAGTTCAAGTCTCATTCCAGAGATTTGGGGCAAAATCTTATCTGACATTCCTGTGTTACAAAAACAGACTGCTGCACTGTCAGAGGTGCCATTTTCCAAAAATGTGATGTAAGCAGAGACCCTGGCTTCCTGCTAAAGTGGATGTAAATAGTCCCACAGTGCTATATGGAAGAATAATAATGGAATTCTTCCCAGAGTTTTGACCAACACTGGGGGAGGTGACGGCCTAGTGGCATTATCGTTGGACTTTTAATCCAGAGACCCAGATAACATTCTGGGGATGTGGGTTCAAATCCCGCCACAGCAGATGATGGAATTTGAATTCAACTGAATTCAATTAAAAATATCTGGAATTAAGAATCTAATGATGACCATGAATCCATTGTCGATTGTCAGGAAAAACCCATCTGGTTCACTAATGACTTTTGGGGAAGGAAACTGCCATCCTTACCTGGTCTGGCCTACACGTGACTCCAGACCCACAACAATGTGGGTGACTCTTAACTGCACTTGGGCGATTAAGGATGGGCAATAAATGCTGCCTGGCCAGCGACGCCCTCGTCCCGTTAATGAGTAAAGAAAAAAAAATTACTACTAAAACAATACCAAAAAGCAGATTATTTTGTTATTATCTTATTATTGCAAATAGCAAGGTCCTATGAGCAAAGTGGTTCTTACGTTCCCTGAATTACAAGTGACAATACCTCAAAATATGGTTGCAAAGCTCTTTGGATCATCCGGAGATCAGAAAATATGTTGGTGTAAAACCAAAATTGCTGTAATTAGTCAATGCTC